TGTCTTTGTGTGCATTTTGGTTGCAGTCCCCATGGTCGACTCTGCTCTACTTCTGTGTTTCTTTATTACTAGACCTCTACCACAGTCTTCTTCCCCTTCCACCTCTCGTCGCCTGTAGGATTACCGTATGGAAGCATGCACTTTGTATTAATATACTAGAAATCTACAACTCCATTTTATACTTTTTACACTCTTGGATATTTATAATCAAAACGTACAAGATATCGAATAAACTTAGTCTTATTAGGGAAAGAAAAAGACCGCCTTGTCTTATACAGTTGAGATTTTTGTACACTTTTGGGAGTCAGTATATCATACATGTTTACCTAAAGTTTATGATCTTCACCACTAGGAATGGCATCTATATCTTGTGTGAGTGTCTCAAGGCCGCTTGTTCATCTGAAGTGTTTGTTATCAATGTTACAGCACTAACTCAGACACCTGGGGCATTTTCCAGGGAGGAAATGGAGGGGAAATGCCTACAGCTGCTGGGAACTATAATTTAAAATGTGATCTATGAAGCAAGAGATCCCTCTCTCAGTAACATTAAGGGCACTCCCAGAAAAGTTCCCCAGTTCTCCCTGTAAGTCTGAGGACCAAAATGACTGCCCTTAGGCTTGCCTGGGGGTGTAATCTACTTTCAGTCACACTCTACCTGAGGTTAAAACTGCCCCTCCCTAAGTTTGCACTGACCTTCTCTGAGCATTAGTCACATAAATGGGTTAATGACCAGAACGAATTTATGTCAAGACTCCCACTCTGTGTCTGGGCTCCCCCTCTAGAGCTCAGCCTTCCACAAGCCAAGCCCTGCAGAACGTAAGCTCTCATACAGTAACCCTGACTTGATGACCCCTAGCAACAAGATGTTGGTCATGCTTCATGGAAACCTCATGGGCAAGTTTCCAAAGCAAAATACACCTGCATATTGACAAGTTCAACATATGATTCTGTGTGTTGCTGTCACTTGGCTAGAGGTGTGTCTCCGTTACTTAAGACTTAACCACAAATGGATACTTTAAAGAGCAAAAATTTGGGGTGTCACCGTTTTTTTGCGGTTGGAAGTCCACATCAAAATATGGATTATTCGGGGAGGGCCCCTGCTTGTTGGTAGCCTGAGACATTCCTTGGCTCATGGAGGGTTCCTCACACAATCTCTTGCCCCTGAGTGTATGTCTCCTGGTCTGTTTTTCCTTTTTATAATATGCTACTCACAGCCACTTGTCTGTGGGTTTGTCTTTCGGTGGTGGCTTGTGTGTTGCTGTGATCCTGGGAGCTATGTTACTGGTATTTCAAATGCCACCAGGGTCATCAAATGTGAACAGTTTTCAGCAGAGCTTCCAGACTAAGAACAAAGTACGAAGAAGGAATAGCGTGTCCACGTCAGAGGAATTAGCCACTGGCGTGCTTCTGGCTACATGGTGCATTGGGGCACGTTAAAGGAGAGACCAGTCCCTGGAGAAGAACATCATGCTTGGTACAGTGAAGGGCAGCGAAAAAGGAAGAGCTGTGGATAGCTGGATCAACAAGATGACTGCAAAAATGGCCTCACATGTAAGGACAACAATAAGACCATATTGTTGTCCGATGGTACTTCCGAGGCGGAACCAACTTGACAGCACCTAACAGCAGTAACAGCACTGTCAAAAGGATCGGGAGGCGGGACTTGCCCTGCTCTGGTCTCACCTTTCTTTTGACAGCAAACGAAAACCCCTGTTTCTAGACTAGCTCAGATTACCAGGTACAGGGGTCAGGAGCACCCCCATACCACAGGAGAGTAAGTCAAAGTCTTGTGCTAGGGTTCCACTTCATACATGCATGGGTTCTTCTAATCAGGTGGTGTTGAAAAATGCCTCTGCCGTCAGTGAACGGCTGCAGATAAGTTTTCTCAGTTGTACACTTGTCTTAGTCTCCTTTGGGTGGCCTCAAAAAAAATCCTATTCCAAACTGGCTTCCTAGGGGATCTGCTGGAGCAATCAAATTCAAGATGCAGAGCCAGCTCAGAGGATGAGCATTTTCTGAAAGTGTCAAAGGGGGAAATCTCGATAGATTTTCTCAAAGGATACAAATGGTCAAGAAGATTTATTAGGAAGAAGTTTTAAGAAAATGGAAAACTGCATTCATGAGAAAAAGACAAAGTTTTGCCAAGGAGTGTTTTCCATTTCAACAATGCACCTGCTCACTCTCTGAGGGCAGCAAAGGCTGTCTTATCAGAAGGTCATTGGGAGCCCTTACCCCAGGCACCTTTACAGCCTTGGTTTTGCTCCTTCACATTTTGTTGTTGTTGTTCCTGAAACTCACCGTCTAGAAGGAACACAGTTTCCTTTCCTGTAGCATGTCCCGAACTGCCCTCTTGATGCAGTGTATGTGGAAGGCTGCAACATCCTTCAGGGGAAGGATCAGGGGGGTAGAAACACTGGCCTCAGCAGTGTACAGGCCTCGAAGGAAGATATCAAGAAATAGTGGCTGTACATGTTGGTACTTTCATTTAATAAAGTATGCTATCGTTTTTATTGAAAGCCATCAGTTCCTCCATAGGAGAAAGATGAGTTTCTACGTCTGTAAAGATTTCCTGGCTTGGAAACCCGCCTGGGCAGTTGTCCTCTCTCTCTATAGATGTCACTGTGAGTCAGCATTGACTTGATGGCAGTGAATGAGTGAGTTTGCAATAATGCCATTTGATTTATTCTAGAATTTTCCAAGTGACAAAATTCAGTCCATAACCAAGCCTGGATGTTAAGTTATTTGGAGATGACCCAGGAATATTCACTGTTGTCCCCAGTGTTTTAATGTTCTGCATCAACTACCAAACCAAACCACGGCCATGGAATCCATTCTGACTTAAAGCAACCCAATAGGCAAGAATAGAGTGGCTCCTGTGGGTTTCCAAGACTGTAAATCTTCTGAAGCAGTATTATTAGGACATAATCCACATATCATACAATCCAGTAGTTCAGTCATATCAACAAGAGTTGTACAATCATTACTACAATCACATTTCGGACATTTTCTTCTACTCGTTGTTATTAGCCCCCCATTTTCCCCCAGAAGCTGGGAGGCTTAATGGGAGCAGAACGCCTTGACGTTCTCCCTGGAGCAGCTGGTGGGTTTGAACAGCCGTCCTTGTGGTTAGCAGCTCACGATTGGAGCAGTAACTGATTGAAGACAGCACTGGGTTTACAGTACTCTTGCCCTGTGAAGTACATCAGGTGTGCAGACTGGGAGCTGAAGGGGCATGGTCATAAGGGAGAGATGTGTTTCAGTTAAAAACAGGTGAAAGAAATGCCCAAGGCTGAAGACAGCAGTTCTGTGATTTATTAACTGTGCACTCGGGCGCCAGAGGGCAGACTGGAAATAGCTGAAAGGAGACAGCTGTGGGGAGTTTGGGTCAGTGACTCACTCTCTCAGGCCTTTTGGCAGCAGAACCCTCTCAGGAAGTTGCTAGAAGGCTGCCCTGATTGTGCTGAGGATGGTGGCTCGGGTTTCTGTATGTTCCAAATGTGAAACCCAGGAGCTGAAGGCAGTGTGTCTGCTGCCAGGGATACGGTCACCCACATTAGCCAGTAATTCCCCACCCCTCCTGAGAAGCAGCTCTGGTTGACAGGAGACTGGTGAACTCTGGACATTTGAGAGGCTGTGTTTTCTCAAACCTCAATTCGAATTTTGGCAACTGCCCTGCGCGCTCTCCATTTGAAGCTGTAAGGACATGGCAGTGTCTCCATCTCTCTAGCTTGCCTCGAAGAAGTTGGCCCTTCCAATTTTCACCACATCAAAATGGTAGTTTGGTGCCCTCAAGGGAGTCAACTCAGGTTGCTTTGAAATGTTCTTTGAGTTTGGAGGACAAAAAGTGTGAAGGGGCAAAACCAGGGTTGTAAGGTGCCTGGGGGAAAGGGTGCCCATGAAATTCTGATAAGACAGCCCTTGTCCTCAGAGCGAGCAGGTACAACGTTGTGCTGGAAAAAACTTTCCTGGGCTTTTCCTCATGGATAAAGGGCTTTAGTTTCTTAAGACTTCTCACAAAAAGCCCCCATGATCATCCTGTGCCCTTTCTGAAAATCTATCAAGATAACCTCTTTTAAATCACCAAAACCTGTTGCCAGAGCTTCTCTGCTTTGAATTTAACTGGCCCAACAGATCCCCTAGGGAAACAACTGCTTTGATTTGAACTTTCTTTTCGAAGGCAGCCTAATGAAACCAAGACAAGACAGTATTGAGAGGACTTAACCTGCTGTCATCCACTGACGGCAGAGACAAGTTTAGCGTGTTTGGTATGCAGTAAACCCACCTGTGTGCAGTAAACCCACCTGTGGCCCTAGTAGCAATCGATGTTTACTTTCCGTGGCATAGTTCAGCTTTTCCAACGCTGGATCTCATTAGACATCTTCTTGGCTCTCCTTCTAGCATCTAACCTTTCACTGGCTTTTAACTTGGGTTCTTGTTGAACTCTGCCACAGTGGTAACCCAGTATCCTCATTAACTGTGATTTTTATCTGAAGTAGAAAGACTGTTTTCAGTTACTGTCTACAGAACTAACAGCTTTTCTGCTGCTTCAGGAATTGTGCTTTCAGGATTTTCCATTTTTCTTCTCTCCCTACGTGGCACTGTTTTCCAAAGAAAGTTGCTTCTCATGAAATACTGTGCCAAGAGAACAGCGCTGCTAGACGGCAGCAAGGTAGTTGGAGACTCGGCCCTAGAGCCAACAGGTCAGGAGAGATCATCTGGTTGGAATTTAATCCCCGCCTGGCTTTCCTCCACCTTTGTAGAGAAGGGGAAATTGAGGCAAAATGGTGGCACCAAGAATCTGGGTCTTCTGCGTTACATGCCTGGCTTTCCTGATACTTTTTTATTGTATTATAATGCCTCTTACCTCTCACTCATTAGAAAACCATGTTAATGAGAGCCGTTCACTAAAGCGCCCAAGTACTGTGTGAGGGAGAAATAGACCTTCTTGTGACATTCTCTAAATAACACCTAGACATTTTGTAACTTTTTCCTTATTTTAGGAAGAAGTAAGTCGAATTTGGGCTGGACGCCTCTTCATCTGGCATGCTATTTTGGACATAAGCAAGTAGTCCAGGATCTGTTGAAGGTAAGTTTATGGTTTTAATTTTAAGTGACTATAATACCACGGTTATAGAAAGTATAAGATGAAAGTGCTACAAAAGCCAACTAAGATATATGTTAGCTTACTTACAGAAATAATTTGCCTCTATAGATATTTCACTGTTCTTTATTAAATACATGAATTAAGTTAGCCTGATTAAAGTCATTTTTTTCCTATCTTTTATTTTTAACACTGGCTACCCCTCCTCTACACAACTTTAAAAAAATAACGATAAGACTATCCATATTAAAACATTTGCCAAATCAGTTACACTATTGCATTTTTTAAAACAGAGTCCTGATGGTATATAGTAGGTTATGCGTGGAGCTGCTACACTTAGGGTCAGCAGTTCAAAACCACCAGCGGCTCTGTGGAAGAAAAATGAAACTTCCTGCCCTCCTATGGCTGACAGCCTTGGAAACCCACAGCACCAGTTCCCCTGTGTCCTACAGGGTTGCTGTGAGTCAGAATTGACTCAATGGCAGTGAGTCACTGGAATTTAAAATTGCAAAGACGAACCATATTAATGAAAGAAGATAGCATTTTCTGTTTTCTGAGCCTAACAGGGAAAGCAATGAGTGTGCATTCTGAATGACTTAAAGGACATCAGAATATCTTGAGGAGCACTGAGCAATTTAAGGTCTTTTCATTTCTCACTTCTATGATGAATAAGTTGTTTCACATCCGTCACCATTTATGTCTGACGTTGGTTTGTATCTTACAGTTTTATATATTTAAATGGTGCTAATGTTTTCTTTTTTTTAATCCCCCGAAAATGTACTGACTTGGTAGTAGAGAAAATGTGCTCAGAGAACATTTCAAATAGGAGGACTTTTCAATAGTATGAAGCTGTATACGTTTTAAAAGTAAATATTCTTTCATTCTTCTACCTTGCAGATAGATGTTTATCTTCTAGGGAGCTTACTATTTTTTTTTACTGTGAACTAAATGGATTTTTATAAGGATAGTAAATCATAATGAAGTCTATTTGTATGTAAGCCAAAACAGGTATAGTTCATATCTAACATCAGTTAGATAAATGCTTGTATTAGTATATAGTAAATAGTGTTCCCTTCTATGTTTAAAATTATTAAAGAAACATTTCCAGTTACACTGCAATATGTTGTACATAATAATACCGCAGTAATGATAATCATAGGAGCCCTGGTGGCAAAGCGGTTATGTGTTGGGCTGCTAACCGCAGGGTCAGCAGTTTGAAAGTACCAGCTTCGCAGCAGGAGAAAGAGAAAGCGTTCTATTCCTGTGAAGAGTAGCTAACAGTGTCAGAAACCACAGGGACAGTTCCACCCTGTCTTTTCGGGTCCCATGGAGTTAAAATCGACTCAATGCAGGCAGGGGGTTTTGCTTGTTTTTTGGAATCATAGTCACCTTTTGATTCATGTTTCAAAGTAGCACACCTTTGTTATTAGGTACCACTGTGCGTACGTAGAAGGCTTAGCGATTTGTATGGGACATGTTTTTGAGGGTCCCCAGCCCCGGTATGGAGTGGCACAGACAGTTCAGCGCTCTGGTAGCAGGAGGCTGAGGTGCTGTGTGCAGTTCCCCGGGAAGGAGCCGGGAGATGCGGCTCTCACTCCTCCGCCCAGCACATGGCTGCACGCGGGTTTTGCTTTCTGTCTTCTTTTGTCAGAACGAAAACCCTCTTCAGATTTCTCTTGGTTAGCACTGACAGTACTCATGGAGGTCAAAGCACAGTGGAGTAACGGGGACATTTGAAAAGCAGGGGATCCATAAGGTCAGCTTTATAGGTGTTGGTTTGTTACTACCAGCTACGGGGGAGGTGGATGTTCATAACCTGGGGGCTACCTGTATTTGGCATGCATGTTCGGGCATTACTTTGAGTTCTGTGTATTTCTTGATCTGTAGAAACTATTGAAAGTCTTTATATTTCCTAGGCTGGCGCTGAAGTAAACGTGTTAAATGACATGGGAGACACGCCGCTTCACCGAGCTGCCTTTACTGGACGAAAGGTGAAACACGTTCTATGTTTAATGTCTCAGGAGTGAAAATAATTGGAAGAACAGCCATGTATGTTTTCTCTGGTATAACCAGCAGAACAGCAACTGGGAAAACTCACCCCAAAAATCTAGGCCAGCCCTTTGTGAAGTCACATTATCAGTAGTTTGCTTCTACTTATGGCCGTATGATAGCCTACCATGTGCGGACGCGTGTTCCATGTATCCATAAAGGATGGCCATTTGGATTTTTTCCAGCTTGGAACTGGTATGAGTAATGCTGCTATGAATATTCTCATCCACGTGTTTTTTTATTTGTCTTGGTTAGATTCTTGGGAGTGGAATCACTGGGTCATAGGGTTAGTTTTGTTTAGCTTGCTAATAAACTACATACTTGGTTTTCTATTCTTGTTCTTGGTAAAGTAAATGTAGCAAAAATTTTCCCATTTTCTGTTGTGCAAACATCTTGTTTTTCCAAATGTTTTTCATCACCCCAAACAGAAACTCATGTTCCCTTCAGCAATAATTTCTCAAGCTCCTTATAACCATTAATAGAATCTCTGTACCTAGTCTAGATGTTACATATAAGTGGGATCATATAGCACTTGACTCTTCATAGAAAAAAAATAAGAAATGACAAGTGTTGATGAGGACTTAGAGAAACTGGAACCTTCATGCATTACTGGTGGGAAAGTAAAGTGGCTGCCAATCTAGAAAACAGATTCCACGAAAAGTTGAACACAGAATTTCTATGTGATCCAAGTGCTCCACTCATAGTTATATTTCCAAAACCTTGAAAGAAATAACTCATATGGATTCCTGTATACCAATGTTCATTGCAGCAATATTTACAATAGCCAAGAAGGTTGAAACAACCCAAGTACCCATTAGCAGGTAAACAAATAAACACAATGTGTCATACGTGTGCCATGACATGTAACTCAGCACTGAAGCAAGGATGGTAAGATTCTGCCTGTTTAAATATTCTGCCTTTGCCTGAGTGAGTTTGGGGTAGATAGAGTGTCTCTAAGAATTTGTTCCTTTAATCTAGGTTTTCAAATATGTTGGAGTATACTTTTTATGATAATCAGTTACAATTTTCTTTTTTTTCTTGGATCCATTATAATGTCACCAATTCTCTCTCTCAGTTTGGTTATGTACCTCTTCTGTTTTTTCTCTTTTGCCAATCCAGCCAGTGGTTTGTCTATTTTCTCTGTCCCTTCCGAGAACCAACTTCCGGCCCTGTTTGTGCTTCTGTTGTTTTTGTTTCCTATTTCGTTTCGCTCTCTCCTGAGTATTATTATTTTCTTTGTTCTGATGTTTTTTACTCGTCTCTTACTTAGTGTAAACGTGCCTTTTATTCTTCCTTTTCCGTTTGTTCAAGTTGTCCATGGAAGTTTGGATCTTTCTTCTTGTTTGATGTAGGAATTTATTGCTATACATATCAAGTACTGTTTTTTTTTCTGTGCCCCAAAGGTATTGATTTCTTTTTCTTTTCAATTTATTGATGGGTACAGATCAGATAGCACAATGCTAGCAAGATCTTCATGAACATGGGCTTACACTTGTCCAAAGGGCGTGACTAGGGTGTATTTGACTTCACCACCATCTGGGGGGAGGCCCTCTTCAGCCACCTTGTTGTCAATCTCATCAGTGCTGTACTTGGTAAAGCCTCACGTTTTAGAGATTTTGATCTTCTGGTACCCAGGGAACTTGCACTTGGCCTTGTGTAGGGCTTCAATTGCATGCTCTTTGCTTTGACACTGATGGGATAGGCATGGTGACTTAACCAATGTAGACCTTAGGGTTTTCTAAAGTCACCTCATGTACATTATGGTCAAGAACATGCTTTGTGTGATTGCAGGCTTTTTAAATTTTTTGAGACTTGTTTTGTGTGCTAACCTGTAGTCTGTTCTGGAAAATGATCCAGGTGTTCTTGACTTTTATGTTCATTAGGTCCATGTGGTTGATGATTTTAGTTGAAGTCTCAATATTCTCAGTGTTCTTCTTTTTAGATGTTCTGTCACAATCGAACATGGTGTTTTGAAGTCTTCTGACGTTATTGTGGACTTCTCTATATCTCCACTCATATTAGTCAATCTTTGTTTACTGCATTGGGTGTGTTGCTGATAAAAAACTGCTATCAAGTCAATTCTGACTCCTAGCAACCCTGTAGAACATAAGTACCACCGGAATACTCCTGGGAAGAGAGGATGGCAACGCTGCATCCCTTGTGCTTTGGACATGTTAGCTCGAGAGATCAGACCCTAGAGAAAGACCTCAAGCTTGCTAGACAATCAGCTAAAAGGATGACCCTCAATGAGTTGGATTGATGTAGTGGCTGCAACTTGTTTTTCATCAGTATCTTTATAAAGAATAGCATTGATCATCTGTGAGTGAACATTTGAGAATGATAGCATCAGCAAATTATGTACTGCAGTGTAACATGCTTAATTTATTAAAGCATAGCAACAGTTTTAAGGATGGTGTAGACCAGGCTATGTTTCATTCTGTTGTATGTAAGGCCTTTATGAGTTTGAACCAATTAGATGACACCTACTAACAATAAAAATAATGGATTTATTATGTGTTAATTCACATTTTCATGATTCTAATTTAACTAATCTTGGTGGTGTAGTGGTTATGCATATTGGACTGCGATCCGCAGGGTCACCAGTCGGAAACCACCAGCAGGAGAAAGACTGGGCTTTCTAATCCTGTAAACAGTGACAGTCTCAGAAACTCACAGGGCTCCTATGCGTCAGCATTGACTTGATGGCAGTGAGTTTGGTTTTGGTTTGGTAAGTATAAATTGTGCCTACAATATCAACAGTAGGGTTCTTTGGTGAAAATGAATATACCAGAATTTTTTAAAGTTGTATTTATTAATTATTCCTTTATTTTTCAAATACAGTTCAAATTTTTACTTCATGTATTTGTGGTACCGTGTATACTCGAATATAAGCCGACCCACATATCAGCCAAGGCACCTAATTTTACCACAAAAACTGCATTAAAAATGCTGAACAACTCGGCTTATACCTGAGTGTATGTAATAGTTTTGAAAGAGGGATGTGGTAAATATGTTACATAATTGGACTGTGTTCTTTACTTTTGTGTTGACTTGTTACTATCGTCTTGCACATGAAGTCCTATGCTCCTTGTCCATGAAGTTCTCATCTCTCACCCAGAATAGAAGTTAGAGGTCATCATGAGGTTGCATAAGGCCAGCTGTCTTGTTCCCTAGGATTTCATTCCTCTCACTCTGTGCAGAATACCTGCTGTGTGTCAGGCACGGTCCAGTTGGCTTTTCATCTATCATTGCATTTAGCACTAATCAACAGCCCTGGACTATAGGTGTCAATACTGACATTTGTTGTAGGTTGGGTTCCAAGAAAAGCTGATTGAAATAAAGATTAGTGGGCATCTGCTTAATTGAGGTGCTTGCAAGTCACCCCTGTGGAAGGGGGAGGGAGGTCACAAGAGGAAGCAAGCCCGGGCAAAGAAAGGCAAGACCTATCTTGCAGCCCCTGAGGGCTGTCCCTGCAGATCCAGTGGTGCATGCTGACTGCCCTGAGCGGAGGTGAGATGGCCAGGCCTTATGCACCTAGGACAGCTATAGGATCACTCGTAACTGATGCTACACACTGCCTTTTTCTGTCCTGGATCCCTGGGTGGTGCAAATGGTTAACTCATTCAGGTGCTAACCAAAAAGGTGAGTCCACCCTGAGGCACCTGAGAAGAAAGGGATGGTGATCTACTTTGGACAAATCAGCCCTGGGAAACTCTGTGGAGTGGAGTTTCTCTCTGACACCCATGGTGTGCCATGAGCTGGAATAGGTTCCATAGCCACTGGTCCCAATGCACAGTATTTTTTCTATCAGAGGACCCCTCTAATCATTTGGAAATGGGTCGTAATACAATAAATAAAATCTTAGGTTAATAATAGTCGCAAATAATTCTGTTGCTTTTTCAGGAGTTGGTAATGCTTCTCTTGGAATATAATGCTGATACTTCTGTTGTTAATGGAAGTGGACAGAGAGCTAAAGAAGTCACTCATGACAAAGAAATCCGAGACATGCTTGAAGGTAAATATTCTAGATCTTAGTGTAAACACCATTTTCTGGAGTAATAGCTAAGATCCAGGCTGTGAGTAAGCTGGCTTCTGAGATGCCAAAACAGGTGACAGCATGCCTGTGCTCTAAAGATAATACCCTTTGTAGAGGTCCTTAGTCAGAGACAATAATCTGTATGGACGTTGTCCTCAAGCCAACACTTTCAGCGTTAAACTCTTAATTAATAGAGGAGGCTGGCAAGTTCTGTTATCTAGTTCTCAAATGTCTACATGTACACAGAGCCACAGGAAGGTGGCTCGCGGACTGGAGCAGCAAGGTGGTGAAGCGACACAGAGATGCAGGCGAGGCGCGCTGTAAGGCATAGCACCAGGGGGTCATGTGCAGTTGGAGAAGGCAGGTTGGACCAGCTGGGTTATCCCGAGGAGCGTGAGACTTCCTGACTACAAAGATGCATCCGAACTCTGGGGCCTGTGTGAGCAGACAGAGCATTGGTTTTTAATCAATATTCACTTTAAATTTGCTAAGACAAATGATTTTTTGGATTTGTGTATAGGTAGTCCCCAATTTATGATGGGGTATTGTTCTGAGGACTCCTTTTGTATATTCATTCTAATAGCAGTGGAATATCTCATTTGATTTTTAGTTGTCCATATTATCACCTTTTATCATTCATCTCTTTATTAAATCTTAACGTGGAATATCTGTGAGTAAACATCTGAGAAGAATAACCTATGCAAATAATGTGCTGCAGCATTGTATGCAGCATATACCACAAGCAGTACGATGTGCTTGTCAAAAACCCAAACTGAAACAACCTCCGGAGGTCATAAGTGTGTTTCTTTGTCACTCAGACATGCCATTAATCTGGAACTACCTGTCATGGCTTTCAAACAATGTATGGAAGGATAAGACATAAAAACCGCTCCTTGGTTTCATAAATGGAACGCCTCCATGTAACCAGGATGCATGTCTAAAAGGGAACATTATCAACACACTTGAAGCTCCTCTGCCCCCCTCCCCCCCCCAAAAAAAAACCCAACAGAATGAACAGAGAACAGAGAAGGTCCGGGCATACAGTCCTGGAACACATGCACATTTTCCAACTCTGTATCCCTGTCTGCTTCCCTTCACTATGGGCCCGGACAATCTAGAAAGTAGCAGGAGGGTGTCCTTTACTTCCCTAAAGTGTAGAACTAGCAGGAAGCAGTATTTGATCATTCAGTGACTACTTATTGACCAAGTGTGCATTGTACTGGACATGGCTCCATATGCCTCTGATACAAAGAAGAATAAGAACACCTGACTTCAAGGAGGCATGGGAGGATACATGACAACTCAAGTGTAGCGGTAGGTACGAGAGGGACGAGGGCACCCCTGTCGTCTAAGAGCCAGAAGGTGGAACCAGTTCAGGGGAAAAGATGGAATAGTGTTAATTCCAGCAAAGAAGGGAGCATTGCGTGCCGAGGTGGAGACTTGACTTTCTTCCTTTGAGGTAGAGAGGGGTCTGGGCATGGAAATAAAATGGGGAGACTAGAAGATAGTGAGTGTAGTAATGTGAATCATGTCTTAAGGTAGCACTAAACAAATCCCAGCTGTTCCCATGCTCATTGTTCTTGTTCTTTGTAGTTTAAATAAGGTGGTATGTATATTGTCTTGTACCACAACTAGCACATAGTAATTACTATTAATACATGTTCACCTGTCTCCTCAGTCACCTGCCAAGAAGACCTGCAAAACCTGTTGTAGTCCCTCCCTTGCAGCCAGTACACAGCTCTTGAGTGGGATTACTAAGCCTTTCTATGAATTTCCTTCTATTCTGTAAGCCAAAGCCAAATTCAACTCTTGCAGAAACTAGACCTTCTTACATAGTCCAGCCTGAAACAAATCAAGTGGCCAATTGCTCTCTTTGCCCTACAAGTGTGATTTAAGGGGTAGCACAGAGCAGCGGTAAGAGCTTAAACTCTGGAGGCCATTGTCCAGGTTCAAATCCCAGCTCTGTCACCTACCAGCTGGGGGGCCCTGGTAAAGTTCCTTTAGCCTCTTGGTACTCAGTTTCTTCATCCATAAATGGGGATAATGGTAATACTCAACTCACAGAGGACTACTGTGAAGAAGTGCTATTAACGAGTTGATATTTTTAAGATGCTTTGAATAGCCCTTGGCACATAATGTTATAGTATTAAATAAGCGTATAAAATGTATTTATTTGGACACATGAAAGCAAAGTAATATAGATCTGAGTACATTTATGTGGTTGATAGCTCTTCCTCCCAGGAGTCTTTCCTGTTTGTACTTTTCTCTTCCCATTCTGTCTCATGAATGAGCCTCACTTTTCTCCCTTTCCAAGGCAGACACGTGAGAGTATCTCAGTGTGCCAAAGTAACTTACAATTATTAGTGTTGGTTATTCTCATGAGTAAAATGCTCAAAGACCTCTGAATTTAACATATGAATCCATCCAGACTTCAGATGTAAGGCAGTGGAAAGTGTGTTTGCGTAAAATTTAAAAAAGCCTTTGATTTTTCTGACCATGATCACTGTGTCTTTATTTATCTTTGTGGTAAATATGCCAGTGGGCTCCTGACCAGGAGGTGAGTGAGATGTACTTTCCTTTTGCAGCTGTCGAAAGGACTCAACAAAGAAAGCTTGAAGAAGTACTGTTAGCAGCAGCGAGGGAAGGCAAAACAGCAGAACTCACTGCACTGGTAAAACCAGCCAACAGAAACAAGTGTGCGTGCGTGCGTGCGTGCATGCGCGTGCGCGTGCTTCCTTACACTCGGCATGTTTTAGTTCATGTTAGTCATAACTTAGTTGAATGATGGGACCAAAAACTCCAGAGATCCACTCCAAAATAGAGTGGTGGTCCTTAAGTGTCTACAAGCACAAACATGGTAATAGTGTGACACATTTTCAACTGGAGTGTTTCTTTATGAATTTCTGATTTATACTCATTCCACACACAACCCCCCAAATCTGTTGCATCAGTCCAGGTCAATAGTTAGTGTCAATAACCCCCCAGTTTGGAATACACTTATTGAATTTTGATGAGCACTACGTCCTGGGAGAAATGAAATTTCTAGCAGGTAACGGGCAGAAGAGGAACATATTTGACATACAACGTTTGGAGGTTGGAGCAGACTGGAAACTTTGTCCACTATGATTCTGATTGTTGTGGGTTTTGTTGTTTTCTTTTTCTCCTTTGGAGACATGCTCTGCCACTTCTGTTTCCTACGTAGTCTCATTAAGCTCGACACTTAACCTTGCTCAGAATTCAAGACTTGAAGCGTTGCCATTTGCTTTAATGTTACTTCAGCTCATTTCAAAAGTCTTCATTGGCTCCCATATACAGGGCTTAAAACATTTTGAAAATTTGTGAGCTGGAGAAGGTGTAAAGGAACTTCTAAAGCAGTAGAATGGGAACAACAAAGTCTATAGAATCTTGACATTTACACATTGAACACTGATGGACTTGACTCGAATGACTATTGATAAGAGACTGAAGAGATTCATTTGCAATTTTGCTGTCACACATTCGAATTGCAACATTGCAAAACCAACCTCGCTGTCATTGAGTCTTTTCTGACTCGGAGTCATCCTTGGTACAGAATAAAAACTCCCCCGTGGATCTCTGGGACTGTAAGTCTTTATGGAGGCAGAAAGCCTCCTCTTTCTTCCGAGAAGTAACTGGTGGGTTTGAACAGCTGGCTTTGTGGTTAGCAACATAATATATAGTCCACTATGTCTCCAAGCCACTTTACAGGACTGGAAGGATTGAAAATCATCATGAAATATTAATTCCCTGAGGTAGGTGGGTGGTCCTGGGATCTGCTGTCAGAGGAGCATGGGCCCTTGACATGGGCCTGAGATTTGTTAGCACAGTGAACCTGAACCTGAGGAATGACAGGATTGGCTGGTTCTGTGAGCAAGAAGCTACTGGTAGCCTTGCTACTCAGGACCCCAGCTGTGCATTGTGTGTATGCAATGTGAGGTCCTGCCTGAGACATTCACTTGCCTTCATACATGTGATGGGAGAAAACCTATCTTTGCGATGTAATTCTGCAGCCCATTTCTTTTATATTTAGCTCAACAGACCGAATCCTCCTGATGTTAACTGTTCCGATCAATTAGGAAATACACCATTGCATTGTGCAGCTTACCGAGCTCATAAGCAGTGTGCCTTAAAGCTTCTCAAAAGCGGAGCTGACCCAAGTCGGAAAAACAAAAATGGTAAGCACTTAGTGAAAAGCCTTGGTTGCTGATTTTGAAGCTATAACATGAAATCAATGTGGCATAGAACTTTTACTTTCGTGTTCAGCTTTAAACTGCATATTCACTGTTTAATATTGAAATGAAGGCATTCACACAAAAGATAAACTAATTAATTTACTTTCCAGTTAAGACTTAACTGTTTAATGCTGCTTACTCCATTGTAGACCCTTACAATGACGAAGAGAGGTGTGCCATTGCCATCTAGAGAAAGATATGAATGTGCATGATATGTCTGTAGCAAAGGATGGGGTAACCAGGCCAGAACCGACCTGGAGAGACTCTTTAGCATCTTTAGGTACCATTTTTGATACGCGTGCTTCTGCCTGCTGCCAGAATGGGCTGGAACACTTCATTGGTCCCACAATCCCCGTGTTCAGCTCCTTCCTAGCCCAAATCCCAGTCTATGGCAATTGTCACTTATGTGACTGTCTCCCATTAGACTGAATTCCTAAAGGCAAGGACCATCACTTAACTTGTCTCCTGTACCTGAGTTCAGAGGAATGTATCATACATAACACCTTGTGAGCATTGCTTGCTATGTTGGAAGCTTGGGGTAGTTTAGACGATCTTCTTAAAGGATTCGGTCATTGATACGGACTTTGAAGCCCCCCCAAGAGTTTTAGAAAATGAAGTTTCATTTGTAAAGACTTTGGATAGTGTCTCTGACAAAGTCCCCCCACCTACTTGTTTCGTTTTTCTTCCTGTTTTGAATATAGCCTTAATACCATGATTATCTAGTAAGACTTTGATAAGCAGAAATTTGAGTGGCATCCCCAGTTTGGCTCACTTAGGGCCTATGAAGAGGAGTGCTAGTGGGTAAATCATCTAGACCAGTGCTTCCAAAGTGGTTGGTACCATGCCCTAGGGGGTGCTGGAGTCATCCAGTTGTGTGTGCTGTTCTTGCCATGCTGTTTTTGTGGCGGGGTGGCAGTGAGGGGCTGCAAAAGCAGACACCTGCACTTTATCCTGGATTGTGCACTATGGTGCAAGCATTTTTAATTGTAAGGGGGCTCACTGAATACTTTTTTTTCCTTTCTGAAAAGGGGTCAGTAGTGGCCCAATGAGTTTGGGGTCCTATGAGCTAGATGAGGGTTAGCGTCATAGAGCAGAATATTTGGAAATGACTAGCCATAATGTACCTTCATTTGGAATTTCTAAGGGGACCTAGGTGGAGCTGTAGACTGAAAAAGTAAAAAACTGTGCTCTAGAAAAATTAATGTGATGATGACCCTGTGATGGTATTTGAAGTCCTGGTGGCATAGCTTCCAACATATTAGCAATACAGATTCCACAGTGTGAGAAAATGACCAGTAGTGGCATTTTTCATCACTGTTGTTGTTAGCTACCATTGAGTGGATTCTAACTCGGCAATCAGTGGTGACAGGTAGTGGTTTCCTCGGCTCTAAGCTTATGGGAGCAGCTTGCCCCTACTTTCTCCCACAGAGCAGCCAATGGATGGATTTGAACTGTCAGCCTTGCTGGTAACAGACCAGTGCTTACCTGACAGTGTGTTTAGGGATCCTTGCATTAGTCATTAGGGAGATATATGTCAATATCACAATGTGATACCACTTTATCCCCACAAGAACAGCTGTGGTAAGAGAACACAAAATAACAGATGTTGGCAAAGATACAAGGCAGTACTCCAAAAACACTGGAACTTTTTTCAAAGTTATGTATTTAATTTTTTTCGAAAAAACAACCTTATCACTTTCAAAGCACTTCCCATTACACTTAATATATTTGTCAAATCTGCGAATCCATTTTTGGAAACATTTTTGAAACTCATCTGTTTGGATGGTTGGCAGCACCTCCTCGTTGTTTTTTCCCCTTCCCCTCTTCTATGTCTCAAATAGCTGTCCTTTCATGTCCCTCTTTATTCGCAGAAACAAAAAGAAGTTGCACGGAGTGAGGTCAGGTGAGTAAGGTGCGTGTGAGGCAAGAGAGGCATGCTGTTTTTGCCAAAAACTAGAACACTGAGATGGCTGCATGTGCACAGGTACATTGTCGTGATGACAAAACCAGTCCCTCATCTGCCACAAATCAGACCTTTTTTAAAAAAATCATTTTACTGGGGGCTCCTACAGCTCTAATCATAATATATACATACATTGTGTCAGTGTTTATATCTTAAAGGACATTTTACATGGGTAGAGGCTGCAGTCTCTCTTCTTCATTACTCTTTTACTCACACCCCTCTCTTTTTGTTCTTTTTTTTTTTAAATACTTTTATTGGGGGCTCTTACATCTTTTATCATAATCCATATATTCATCCACTTTGTCAAGCACATTTGCACATATGCTGCCATCATCATTTTCAAAGCATTTGACCCCCAGTTTTAAGCTCTCCATTTCTTACCCTTCCCTCCCAGCTCCCCCCATTTCTCATGAACCCTTGATAAGTTGTAGATTATTATTTTCATATCTTAACATTATCCTCTGTCGCCCCTCACCCACTTTTCCATTGTTCATCCTGCTGAGAGGTGGTATAGGTTGCTCCTTGTGATCAATTCCCCCTTTCTCCTCCCATCCTCCCCTAATCCTCCTGGTATCTCTACTCTCATTATTGGCCCTGTGGGGTTTCTCTATCCTGGGTTCCCTGTGTTGCAGGCTCTTATCTGTAGCAGTGTACATGTCCTGGTCTAATCTGATTTGTAAGGTAAAATTGAGGTTGTGATTGTGGGGGGAAGGAAGCACCAAAGAACTAAAGGAAAGTTGTTTGTTTCATGGATGCTATACTGTACCCTAACTGGTTCATCTCTTCCCGGTGACCCTTCTATGAGGGGATGTCCAATTGTCTACAAATGGGCATTGGGTCTCTACCCCATCCCCCACCCCCACCCCCCGCCCCAATTCACATTGGGTATGATTTTGTTCTGAGTCTTGGATGCCTAACACCTGATCACATCGACACTTTATGATCACACAGGTTGGTGTGCTTCTTTCATGTCGGTTTTGTTGCTTCTCAGCTAGATGGCCACTTTTTTATCTTCAAGCCTCTATAAGAACCCAGACGCTGTATCTTTGATAGCCAGGCACCATCAGCTTTCTTCAACACATTTCCTTATGCACCCATTTTGTATTCAGCGATCCTGTTGGGAAGCTGAGCATCACAGAATGCTGGATTGTTAGAATAAAGTGTTCTTGTGTTGAGGGAGTACTCAAGTCGAGGCCCAATGTCCATCTGTAACTTTAATTCTTAACATATAGATATGAGTACATAGTTCTATTCCCCTCTCATTATATGTATATTTACATATCTACATGCCTGTATTTAGACCTCTGTAAATGTCCTTTGCCTCCTGGTTCTTTCCTTTATTTCCTTTTACTTTCCTCTTGTCCCACCATCATGTTCGGCCTTCATTTAGGTTTAGTTACTCACTACTACATTGCCCTTGATTAAGTCCCACTAGGCATCCTACTCCCTTCTCTCTAGTGATTTTATATCACTTGTTATTCCCTTGTCCCTGGGTTTCCCCCCCTCCCCCCTTCCTTTCTCCCACCTCTCCTTCTCCCCCGGGAACCATTGGTCCTGTTTTTTTCATCTCCGAATTATTTATCCTGCCTATCTTATCTAGACAGACATGCAGATACATTAATAAGCGCAAAACCAGGCAAAGCCAAATAAAACAACAAAGGAGGTCAAGACCTACAAAACAAGAACAACAACAACAACCAAAGCAAACCCCAAAACAACAAAAAGAAAGACACTGACAAAAATGGAAGAACCTATAAATAGTTCAAGGTCTGTTTGTTGGCCTTTACGAGTGTTTTCTAGTCAAGTCTGATGGGGTGCCACACTCTGTCTCCAAAGTCTATTTTTGGTATTACCCGGGGATTTCATCACTCTGCTCACCTGCTGCTCTGCTGCATGCCCTCAGTGCCTCACCCTAGTGTGATGCGGTCAGATTGTGCACGATTCCCGCACTGTGTCTCCAGTGTTGTCCCCGCAGCACTATGGTTCAGTGAGGGACGTCGTGTCTCTTAGTGTGGCTGGTCCTATGGTCCTCTCTGTGCGTGGTCTGCTCCAAGCAGGAATATTGTCCTTGGGGCTTGGTGGGCCAGGATGTCCTCCCCTCCCTCTCCATGCCTTTTTGTTTCTCTTGTGTGCTCTAATCAGATGCACTCCTCTCCTCAAGCTGTAACCCCAGTGCTGTCCTCTGAAGTGCATTCTTCTGGGGGAAAGGGGGTGTCCACATAGTTGGGATTGGGGCCGGCCCCACAGACCTCTCTATTGGTTCCCTGGTACATGCCGGTATGTTGTGTTCAAGTCTTGGTGCATCGGGTTGAAGCCAAATCAGGCCTTTTTTGCCGCACAGTGTTGCACATTCTTTTCAGAACCTCTGAATCAGTGGTTCTCAACCTTCTTAATGCCAGGACCCTTTCATACAGTTCCTCATGTTGTGGTGACTGCCCCCCCCCCAACCATAAAATTATTTTTCTTGCTATTTCATAACTGTAATTTTGCTGCTGTTATGAAATGGACAACCCCTGTGAAAGGATCGTTTGACCCCCAAAGGGGTTGTGACCCACGGGTTAGGAACCGCTGCTCTAAATAGAAAGCCCAATTAACACTAAGAGTGAACATTTTCATCTGTTCAGGAAGCTGATGAATATACAGAATGAGGCTTGTCATCAAATGTTTGGCATTTCACCTTTTTTGAAAGGAGAAAACCACTTGTACACTTGAGTTTTCCTCGTAGCACTGTCCCTGTAAGCTGTATTCAACATCACAACAGATTTTGTGACTTTTTTCCTGAGCAGGAAACAAAATTTCATAGCTACGCGCTGCTTTTTTAAATTGGCCGTCACAAAAAACAAGGCTCAAGAGAAACTGCTTTTACGAAAAAATTCATTGTGACCAGAGAGAACCTTCCCAGGTGAAGCCACTGGGTGCTCTAACTCAGACCGAGTTACTTGATGCTTGCCTAGCAGGAAAACGGAATATTACGAAAGCC